AGACCTACAGGGGTGGCTAAGCAATCATCAGTAAGCATGCATAACCGTTAGATGAGGTAATCTCCAATTCCTATCAGATGTACCTGTAAGCAACGCTGGGGTTTTGCTTTTTGAACTGGGCTTTTTGAAGTTTACGCCAGGCGAAAGGTTGCAATAGCCCAAAAGGAATCTCTTAGCTTCCTAACTAGCTGAAGTGTCTGATCATGTTCTCTAATCAGACCTGGGCAAGTAAGTGCACATGTACATGTCACCCATGCCATCGATGCCCCGGTTAGCTTGCCTGGGTTCTCGATTGCCTTAAATAGAGTACTGCGGCTATAATGGTCATAAAAGATGATACACTCAATGCCGTGAGAAAGGACATTGGCCTGATCTATCAAACTCGTTTACACACGGTGGAAAACGGCGGTGTATCAAGTAAAGATGTATTGCTGCTACCCAGCCTCAGCGAATATATAACATTGATGGAAGATGGAATATGAATCTCGGTGTAGCGACTCTAGCCATGAACGTCAGCACTTGAACGTTATGATTGGAACTACAAGGCTGTCAGCCCTACAGCAAAGTTGTCGTTCAGGGAAACCAAGTCTTCACATGGTTTAAGCAGCATCTAGACTCCTACCCAATGGTATGAATGCTGCCGTTCACCCCAATGGAAAGATACTGATTTGATGAAGGTTCCAGAAACGAGTTCCTGATACTCTAGCTCGCATAGCATCATGCTTTTCTCGAGACTCACGGTGATTGATTAGCGATCTATTCGAATCTATAATGCGTCAGAAGCCTGATAAATTTTACATGCTCATGCCAGATATCATGTCATTAGGAGGTGTTGGGGGGACTGGCAACTTGGGTTATCGGTTAGACCCGTCAGGTCTGGGGAGTTCCGGACCGCTACCTTGAACAACTCTTCACATATACCGGAAAGCCTATATATAACAGACAGAAGAGTAGGAGCCACTCTTTTTGAATTAATCCAGTCAGTTCGTTCACGCTGAAGTCCTTTGTTCGTTCATACATTCCGACAGTTCTCATTCTCCAACTCTAACTGCTCAAAATACATGTTATTCTATTTGTCAGCCATGGTCAATGTTTCTTGCACCTTTTCACGGGCGGAAGGAGCACTTCTGGGTGAGGGGTGGAAAGTCCTCTTGAGCGATATTGGCAGAACATCGCACTAACTTGTCAGCCGATAAATCACACTTCTGTAAACGTGGAAAACAGAGCATCTTGCGAGGAAGCATAACCGACTCTCCCTAGTTCTATGGGATCCCCCGCTGATTGCCGCAAAGCTGCGAATCATGTTCCACAAGCAGGATGTCTAACGTTTATTATCAAAGGTTAGCTCTCACTATCAGACGCCAAGGTTGTCACCGCAAGATATTGCTTAATGCAGGTTAGATCATACCTAGACGCCTCATGTACTAAGCTTCAATGAAGTGCTGGAATGTCTATACATATACTCTACGAAGTATCAGCAGCGGCAGGAACGCAATAGCTTCATGTGACCTTGGACGAAGTATGCTCAGCCTTATTAACAATATCTCACCATTCAACAGCATCTGTCAACATGTTTTTGGCTCGATAAATAGTGTATGTATAGCAGCTGCTGCACGCGAATTGTCTCTATACCGTCATTTTGAACGAGCCGCCTCCGAATCAGAGTCTTTACTCAACTCTTGTCTTGGCGCCGTACAACAACTACGAATGTATAGGAAGAATATACAGCTAATATCAATTTAATAGCAACATCTCATGCTTTGGTAGATGTTAATCCTGCTAAGCTGGCATCTATCGATAGAGGTGCAACCAACTTCTCTTCCTCGTCCGAATTCTCTCGGATTTTCGAACACTGCCGATACTGTACGACGCTCTCTACTCTCATAAATCGCACCCATAGCCACGACGGAACCAAGGGACCTGTTTCTTCTTACAATCTGGTACAGCGCGTGGGTGGCTTTCATAACGCGATTTGCTTGGATCTCTTGCATTCAGGAGGACCAGAAAGCTTGCTTCTAGGCTTGGGCGAAAGATCAAGGTATCTGCATCTGATATCACAAAAGTAACGAACTCGAACCGCCCACTTTACGAACAGTAATAACAGTAACAAGCCGAAACATTCGAAAACAAGGCTTCTGCGCGTAATTTACAGCACCATACTACTCGAAGTGGTGCACGTCGGCACAAGAAGCCCTATTTGTAACGCTCTTGGATTCCGGTTGATTGATTGATTGTTCCATTTACGTGCTGTATCAGCCTAAGGCTATGTAGCACGGCTATTCCCTAGGGCGTAGCTTGTTGTATGTAACTAATAGCTATTCCTGTAAGGGTTGGAACCCATTTGGGTGCTCGGGCCAAGGCCTTCGCTAAGCACTGACGCCAAGGCCAAGAATGCCAGAATAGTTTTATCTCCACAAGAGGTTCTATACTTTTCTACACTTTTCCTTTGCATTTGTCAGAAGCTAGCTTCTCTAGAAGGTTCGGTGGATCTTATGTATGTAGATAAGTAGGAAGCGAATCCGCAACACGCTGATACCCTTTGCACTTCTTAATTGAATTTCAGAACCCATACCTTTTGGGCTATTCGAGGTTTGGCCTCTCACAATTCCCAAAGTGACTAAATCCAAATATTTTCCAAGTGACAGTGAGGGTCTAGCCCTACTTGGATTTCGGTTGTTGTTTGGGCTGGGAACACTCAACTGATCTTCTCGATAGAAGTAACGTCGGGTTGGTATAGGAATGAAGAGGCAAGTATCAATCGAGTTGAGTCACGTGGAAGTGATTCCGTTACAAGCTGGGTAAACTTTGAGGTAAACAAAGTCAAACAAGCCAAAACGCATCCAATATGGCAAATAGCATGTAGAGTATGTGCAATCAGGGTCGTGGATCAGGAACAGGATTAGGATCAGGATCGGGACACGTCCTATAACACGTTCCACACTTGGCAACCCACCTGTAGAAATAGCTTGATTCTCTAAGAACTTCTCTCTTCCTCGAGAATCTCTTATAGTCAAATCTACATTATATACATTCCTTGACAGAGCACGAAGAAGCGACCCTTACCTGCCTCTGGCAACAAATATGGTTTACGGACGAGGTACACTTCCAGTTAATGAAGCTCCAGAATGTTGCAGAGAATGAGCTGCGTTACCCAGGGCAAAAGAGGTCTTTCAAGGAATCGTACAACCACAAAAGTGTCAAGATCCAGCTATCATGTTACCAAGGGCCCTAGGCTCAGTAACGAATGTTGCAGTAGAACATTGGGAAAGAGCATCTGTATATACTACTGGTCGTTTACCTACATGAGGATGCGAGCCAGGGAATTACCAGATGGTTAACGTCACGTGATTACGAGACAGCCAAGACAAGCTCGCAGAGCTCGCAGGATGGAATCTCTTAGTATATAGTCTTTGTAGTTTCCATAGCTTGAGCATCGTGCTCAAATTACCATAGCTTAGTTTACCTCATAGTTTACACAGCTTGTAACCGAATCACTTTCACGTGATTCACTTCGATTGATACTTGCCTCTTCATTCCTACACCAACCCGACGTCACTTAGTCCCTTGGAGATGAGTTCAGCTAAGTGTTACCTTCCCGGAAGCTCTAACACTTGGTAGAGAGTTGATAACGTTACGAAAAGGCAGGCTCATTTTCTACAAGGATCCAAAGGAGCCATTCACATAAGACCTAGAAACCGCGTAGGCCACGGAAAACTATGTACCAAACCGATGAAAGGTACAAGAAGCATGTGGAGTAGTGGAAGGCTACACAGCCAACAGCAGAGGTTATAACTAAAGGAGACGCCATGTTACAAGAATCTTATGCAGAGTAGATACTTCCCAAAAATGTCAAGATTAAGGCTTTAGGGTTAAGGACATGCGATAAGCCGGACACCATCGAAGAGAGGCCGACCTTAAAACGTGTACGGTTCCACATCGCCGCTTAGATTAGTCGGTGGGGCAAAGCAGAGAAGCTCGAGTTCTATAATGACGAGGAAAACAAGGTCGAACGTCCTCCTTACCCCCCGAAGCCTCGACGCCGCCCAGCTACAGAGTCTCCCGAGGAATGTGCCCGTCAAGTACAAGAATGGGATGTAGGGAAGCCTCATCAAGTAGAAGTGCAGGCCAAAAGTAATGCAATGACTCAAAGCACTACATAGAGACTCCTACCTGTATACTGTCAAACAATCGAGTCTGTGCGGGATGTCGAGGATAAACCCTGGCTTTTACAAGAAGATGGTGACCCTTCTCATGATATGGAAAGAAGGGACTTGCGCAGGAGTACAAGGCTATTCACGAAATCCAAAATTTCTCCCACCCTGCGCAGAGCCCTGATTTATATCATAACGAACTTATCTGGGCTGTTCTAAAGCAAAGATTACGGCGAAGATTCTTCGATTCGGAGGAGATGAAGCAGACTCTACAAGAGGAATGGGACAAGATTACGATGGAAGAGGTCGGATTTCGGATCGCCGATATGTCTAGAAGTTGCACACAACTCGTAAGATCTAGTGGCAAGCAAGCCAATTAGAGGTAATAAATGGTGAAACGGCATTGTAATCAATATATAATATCACTTCTTACTACCCTCGAGATTTTGGTGGGGCTGAGTCATCCGCCATGAATTCTGACACCCACTGTTGGGTGTAGCCGAGTGTAGCAGAATGTAAGGAGGCTATCCAGCATGAATGTGATAGCTACAATCGCATAAAATCTGTAACGTATTTAAGAGATGCCCTAGAGGTGTAAAAAAATGTCTAGGGGCTTGGAGGCCGAATGAGATCACTGTTGTAGTGATATGTATTCGTACGCTAAGAATAACCAGGTCGATTTTAGGCAGAATTTCAAGATTTTCAGTTCAATCACAGCTACCAAAAGCTAGACAAGCAGTAATGATGCCCCTATATTTTCCCCTACACTTATTGCAACTGAAAGTTGCTGAGACGTATGTCATTCTGAATGAAAATTAGAGAAAAAAAAAGGTACAATCATTTAGATGTTTCCGCATCCGGGAATCGAACCCGGGGCTGCCCGGCTCCAATTGATCTTGAAAGCGGGCTATGTTAACCCCTACACTAATGCGGATTGACCGTTTTTGAAGCGTGATTGTTATTTTCAATATTATATATAGTAACTGATAAGGACTCAACGATGACGGGTATCATTGATCGCTCCATTTTGATGTACCATACTTCTCAGGGAGCCTATAAAATTCGTATTCTACTAAGGTAAAACTGCTATGGCCAGTGTGTTTAGGTGTCTTCAAATCGGCTTGTCTGCTCTGCTATACTGCTTTCTGTTGCCAGTGGAAAAACATTGAAGCTGCTTCTCATTCTCACCTCTCCCGTGCGAGCATTGTGAGCTACACCCTTTGAGCGATGATCTCTGTGTGCCGAGTGGCCATTGTATCAGACTGATATGCCGTTGTACCAAATCAAGGTTCACTCTGGCAATTATCCAGTCACGTCTCACAGAATCAGGTAGGAGTGGAACATTTTCATCAAACAGCGTGTTTGAATCCAAATGCATGCTCAGACCACTCAACTCCTCGCAAGCATCTAGGGACTACAATCAGTGTTCATCCATTTAAACGACGACAGTAGATTCATTTGGCCTCTTCACTTTCTCCATGAAGCTTCAATCTTGACCATTTCTATTTAATGCTTCAGAACGCATAGAGTATAGTTCCACCGCCAAGATATCCCGCTCGCTACATCTGGCTCCACCTCCTGCAGTGGATAGATTTGGCAACGTCGCGAGTACCATTTCGAGGTCCAGCACCACACCATTCGAACTGTAATTCTTTGAAGCTGAGGTGTTCATCTACATATAATGAATTACAACAAGAAAGATGAAGACGCCGACACGGCGCTTATGAGAATCGACAGAACCACAGTTTTCCAACAAGGTCAGTTGAGCCCCTCGATCTCACAGAGCTTCTAACATAGAATAGCACGACTGTTCAATTCCTCTCCCATACAGCCCAAGGCATGTCGCATACTACTGACGAGGATTGTATTCCTCCTATACAAGGGCGAGATGTTCCCAACGAGAGAGGCTACGGATTTATTCTTCGGAATCTCGAAGCTGTTCCAGAACAAAGATGCCAGCTTACGCCAAATGGTTCACCTCACAATCAAGGAATTGGCCAGCTCAGCGGAGGATATCATAATGGTTACAAGCACAATTATGAAGGACACGAGCGGAGGAACCGATGCGATCTTCAGACCAAATGCGATACGAGCCCTCTGCCGCATTATTGATGCTTCGACCGTACAGAGCATCGAGCGTGTCATGAAGACCGCAATTGTGGACAAGAACCCCTCCGTCTCATCTGCCGCTCTGGTATCTTCCTACCACCTGCTACCAATCGCTCGCGATGTTGTCAAAAGGTGGCAGAGCGAGACACAAGAGGCTGCCACATCAACAAAATCCTCCGGAGGCTTCTCTCTTGGATTCTCTGCATCCAGCAACCAGGTCACTGTCAACAACTCTACGATGACACAGTACCATGCTATAGGACTGCTATACCAGATGAGAATGCACGACAGGATGGCTCTGCAGAAGATGGTCCAACAATTCGGTGTCGCAGGTGCAATCAAGAACCCAGCTGCCACTGTTCTACTAGTTAGACTCGCAGCACAGCTCGCAGAGCAGGACCCTAACCTCCGAAAACCAATGATGACCCTCTTGGATGGCTGGCTCCGACACAAGAGCGAAATGGTGAACTTTGAAGCAGCAAAGGCTATCTGTGATATGCGAGATGTCTCTGACGATGAAGTCACTCAAGCTATTCACACACTCCAATTGTTCCTTACGTCGCCCCGAGCCGTAACCAAATTCGCTGCAATCCGTATCCTACACAACTTTGCCTCTTTCAAACCACAAGCTGTCCACCCATGCAACCCAGATATCGAGCTTCTCATCTCGAATACCAATCGCTCAATCGCCACATTCGCCATAACCACTCTGTTGAAGACTGGAAACGAGGCTAGCGTTGATCGTCTGATGAAGACAATCTCAGGATTCATGGCAGACATTACCGACGAGTTTAAAATTACAATTGTTGAAGCAATACGAACCCTTTGTCTCAAGTTTCCTAGCAAGCAAGCTGGTATGCTGGCATTCTTGAGCGGCATATTGCGTGATGAGGGAGGATACGAGTTCAAGCGATCAGTTGTGGAAAGCATGTTTGACTTGATCAAGTTCGTGCCAGACTCCAAGGAGGACGCCCTTGCTCATTTGTGCGAGTTCATCGAGGACTGTGAGTTCACAAAACTTGCTGTGCGGATATTGCACCTTCTGGGTATTGAAGGACCCAAAACCTCGCAGCCAACGAAGTATATTCGATACATATACAATCGTGTCGTACTAGAGAATGCCATTGTACGAGCTGCAGCTGTCACCGCTCTGGCTAAGTTTGGTGTTGGGCAGAAGGATCCTGAAGTTAAGCGGAGTGTAACTGTTCTTCTGACGAGATGCTTGGATGATGTCGACGACGAAGTCCGTGATCGCGCAGCACTGAATTTGAGACTGATGGGCGAGCCAGATGAGCTAGCCGACAGGTTTATCAAGAATGGTAAGTACTACACTGAACATGAAGAACAATGGCTAATGTATGGTAGAATCCTCCTTTGCGCTGCCTTACTTTGAGCATCAACTAGCTCTGTACGTCTCCGCGTCAGAAAAGTCTATCTTTGATACACCCTTCGATCTGGCTGCTATTCCAGTTGTCACTAAGGAGCAAGCCGATGCTGAGGATAGAACGAAGAAACTCACCACTGTCACTCCGACAGTCAAGGCGCCGAAAGCTGGACCAACAAAGAGCATGCAGAGCGGTGCCGAGGCTGTTGCTTCCGCATCAGCAGCTGCTCAGAAATATCAACAAGAGTTGCTTAAGATACCAGAGATGCAAGCATATGGCAGTGTCCTCAAGTCATCCCCTGTTTTTGATCTCACTGAGTCGGAGACCGAGTATGTCGTCAGTGTCGTGAAGCACATCTTCAAGGAGCACATTGTTCTGCAGTACGAGGTAAAGAACACTATACCAGACACTGTTCTCGAGAATGTATCAATCATTGCTACGCCCTCAGACGAAGAGGAATTAGAGGAGGATTTCATCATTCCAGCAGCCAAGCTGGTTATAGACGAGCCGGGTACTATCTATGTTTCATTCAAGAAGGTTAATGGTGAAGGTTCCTTCTCCGCAAGCACATTCACGAATATCCTGAAGTTCACTACAAAGGAGATAGATCCTACGACAGGCGAGCCGGAGGACACAGGCTACGATGATGAGTATGAAGTTGAGTCTGTGGAGCTCACTGGAAGTGATTATGTTATCCCTGCTTTCGCTGGTAACTTTAACCACATCTGGGAGCAAGTGGGTGCGTCTGGTGATGAAGAGGTCGAGACACTTCAACTTAGCGGGGTCAAGACTATCGTTGGTAAGTACTCCATCCAGTTTCAAATACAAAGGGCTGACAAAACACTAGATGCTACCGAGCAACTCGCGAAGACTCTTTCACTCCAACCTCTTGACGGCACCGACGTCCCCGTCAACACTACGACACACACGCTCAAACTCTTCGGCAAGACGATTACTGGCGGCAGAGTGGTTGCCAATATTCGGTTAGCATGCAGTCCAAAGGGTGTTGTGACAAGTAAAATTGTGGTGCGTAGTGAAGAAGAGGGGGTGGCTGCCCTCGTCATTGCGTCGGTATCGTAGATGATTGGGGATGACATGTTGGGCCATGGAGTTGAGCGTGTTGCATTCCCGCTTCTTGGAAAAGGGCGGTAGATTATCTTACTCCGTAGCCTAAAAGCCGAAGATGTAGTTTTGAGTGGAATCAAAAACGAGTTCCCCAAGATATTGCCTTCATTTGGTAAAACGTGTCTCCTTTTTGCGACAGCTATTTCTTTGAACTTGCTGGTGTCTTGTGTGGATTTTCTGCCATTGCGCCTCAAGCTAGCATGGGGAAAGAGAAAACGGGGAAAGAGAAGACGCACTGAACAGTGGGAATGTTAGGGCTTGCACCATTTTTTGAGAGGCATTTGGTTATGGTTTTGTTGTATACATAATTGGATATCTTGGTGGACGTGGGAAGTGGGAGACCCACGGACTACGAAGATCTGAAGACATATAAAGAGATCACTAAATGCTGTGCTTGGAAAAGTCTCGGAGCCTGATTGAAATCATCTAATTGTGATTGAGCGCAGATCAATTCTTTAGCTACTTCACTCACGGGCTTGTCTACGTCGACGAGCTTAGGTAGGTAGCTGTAGCTCAAAAAAAACCAATCGGTCTGCAACCACGCAGCCAGCTACAGCTCAGTCCAAAGTGCATAGATGTCCGGGAAGTTCTCTTGCCCCTTAAACATCTCCCTAATGAAAGGCAGGACAGGAATAAGGTGCCTTCTAATCCCAACAGACCTCCGAGGAGGCCTATCAATCTTCCAAGCGCTCCGTTAAGAGCATCTTTCTAGGGGAAAGAAGCTCCTGCAATCTCTACAGAATGCATCGCTGGTTTTCACGTGTGCAAAGTAACTGAAAACCAAAAAAGGGGGAGGGGAGAAAGCATTTACCTGGCAGTTGTGGGTGTTGGTTGAGAAGGGGAACACTGTGATCATGATCATTAATTCCTTAAGTCGTAAACGCCACCTTCCGCCGTCATTCATGCTGTGAGAAGACGGCTGCCCATACCTAGAGTGTTGCCAAAACGCCTTCGCTGAAGGTACGAGCAACAAAGCAAGCAATTAATATCATGGGCCAAAGGACATTAACATATCGTGAAGGGAGGGGCTCTCGATGTAGTAGTCTTTAGTCATTTGAATGAGAGAACAGTGCCGATATCGATTCTCCGTAATGGTTTCTTCTAATAGCCTCCGAGAGCAAAACTGACAGGTCGAGAACTACGAGCTTCTTCGAGTCGCGCATCTTCTCCTTTGGAATAGGGAAGGAATTCGTGACGAGAATCTTGTCGATGCAATTACAGTCTTCCAGGTCCTCCAATGCGTCACCCCCGAAGAGACCATGGGTAGCAATGACATATACTTTGGTAGCTCCACCACGCTTCACCACAGTCTCGG